TTAATAAAAAAATTTTTTTTGCATGATTATAAAAAAAACCGAATTTTATATATAATTTCCATATATAGTAAAAAATCTGGTAATTTAGTGTAGGGTAGTGTATATTTTCAATTTCCTCCCTAAAAACTTTATTCATAAGCCTTTGAAATATCGCTAATGCATTAGTTAAACCAAAAGGCATAACAGTGAATTTGTAAAGCTTATGACTGATAATGAATGCAGTCTTCTGTTGGTCTTTAGACGTCATAGCGACTTGCTAATATCCACTAACTAAGTCAAGCATTGTGAAATACTTAGCTTTGCTAAATATATCCAAAAGTTCATTAATATAAGAGAGAGAATAACAATCTCATCAAATCACACTGTTAAGCTTCTGATAGTCAACACAAAACCTTAGTTTACCATTTTTCTTCCTTACTAAAACTACAGGAGAAGCCCAAGGACTTTCAATTTAGTTATACTAATTTGTTTTTCAACATTTTATTGATTTCTTCTTTGATAAAATCTTGTTTCAGAAGGGCAACTCAATATGCTTTTTGTCATATAAACATATCACTTTCTAATGATATATGATGTATTTTCATATTAGTATATTCTAGTTGAGAAAGATTATCTGCAAATAAATCATCATTTTGTTTAAGAAAAGTGGTTAGGTGATGCTGTTGTTTTTCCTTTAGAGAAGTGGTGATTTTAGGAATCTTTAGTTTTTCTTCAAAAATATTCGAGAGTAATTGTAAGTGTTTTCATTCTTTTTAACATAAATTGCAAGTATCTGTTAGTTTATCAAGTCAATGATGATACTAATATCAATTTTCCAGTCTTTGCTAATGGTAATTCTATTTTTCATTAGTAGAAAGTTGAATACCAAACTTTTGCTTCAAGTTTTTATAGTATTGTGAAAAATATCATTGTTCTTGAATTAAAATTTGATCTGGCTTCGTTCCATCAAGGATTGGCTGACTAATATTATCTTCTAAAACTGCGTAATATCATTGTGAGATTAAAATTTCTTCTTTGTATTTACTATTTATAGGGTTTATCACTGGTATCAGCTGCTGAAATTGGTTGAAGATAGGCTTTTTCCAAAAGGTCATTGGAACTTGATGTATAATTCCATTCCATTTAAAAATAAAAGTTTTTTTATTCCAATGTAATTGTCATTACCAGCAACTATGTAATAATCATTTGATTCTATAATGTTAACATTTATTGGAATCTTAACATTATTAATTTGTATTGGTATATTTCTCACCTGTCCTAATGGTCAAAAGCGTCTACCTTGAATATTTATCATTGTAATTTAAGAAGGACTTTCTATTTGTCATCCTAATTGTTGTAAAAATGATTAAAATATCACACTTCCTATTGATCTAAAATCTAAAATTAAATATATTAGTTTTCCATCCACATGAGTATAATAATAAATAGCTTCAATAGCTTTTGAGAGGTTTGGATTTCCTCTGATATATTCACCCTCTAGAGACACCGTTAGTAGTTTAAATAAGGACGTGATAGATAAATAGGAGTTAAAGTTATATAGGTAGGTTGTGGTGGTAAAGTTCTCATAGGTAACGTATATATATTTTGGTTACTAAGTATTATTAGAGTATGGTATAAAAGCGTAGCATATTGGTCTTTGTTATTTCTAAATCTATTTTTAATTAGACATAAGTTTCCCTAATGTCTATTTTGTTTACAGTGAGAGCAAAGAGTTTTTGGTTGAGTAATGCAATTCTATGTAAAATGTCTAAATTGTTTGCAATTATAACATTTATTATTGTTGCTGTGATTAACTTTTGATGCTTGACAATCCTTAAAAATATGTTCAGCTTTTTCACAATTAAAACAGCTTCATCCATTACTTCCAGATGTACTATTATTCGAGTGATCTCTCCAGTTGTTATTTGTTTGATCATTGGTGGACTTAAAGACCACAGTAGAATTAAATAATAGATGTTTAAACTCTTTAATTAACTTTTGTTATTTTCGTCAATAAGTTGTTACATATAAGCAGGTTGTTTTTTTTCTTTGGATTCTTCACTTTGATTCAGATAGGCTTTGCTTAAAGAGTATCCTGATAAAGTAGTATCACAAGATAATATGGTCTTAATTAAACGAGCCCTATCAACTGTTTTCTCTAAGTCACATGAAGTAGTAGCAGCAAATGCAGTATGAAATTCAGGTCATAAGCCTTAGAGGAATTGTTCAATCTTTTCGTCTTCTAGAGTATTATATTTTGGATTTAATTTTAAATATAAAGATTCAACTTTTGCAACATATTCTTCTACAAATTGTCTAGACCTTTGTTTGTATCATTAAAATGCAGATTACCATTGCGTTCATCTATAAGTGATGCAATAATATTTGAAGAAATGATAAACAAAGGATCAATGTTTATGTTGCCAATTGCTGTCATTATTCTAATAATGCAAATCCTTTTCAAATTTTGTTTTATTGAATTAGATGAGAGCTGATTCTTTCATGAAGGATGGTACTAGGGTCAGTCTCCGTTTGTCAGAAATACTATTAGCTTTACAAGTATGATTGTATCATTCAGACCAGTCACTAGGGTCTTGGTCGCCTTCCTTGAATGTAGGAAGGTCCACAAATCTGGCTTCTCAGGATCCTTCAAATCCAATATTTTTGAAAACAGTTTGAAGGCCTCTTATTATTTGAAAGAAGTTTCATTCATCTTTATCTTTAGCATTATCAGCATCGAATGGATCCTTATTATCATTCTCAGAATCACTATCTTTAGAGCTAGAACTGGAGGAGAAGGGGGAAGAACTATCATAGTGAGAGGAATAATAGTGATCTGTAATTTACTAGTTCTTTTACCCTTAGACTTTTTATCATGCGAACGATTAGTTTTGTGTTTTAATTTTGAGAAACATAAAAGACTAATATCCTTTTGGTCTGTGGTTTCTTCTTCATCAGAGGATCTTTTGAACGTTAATTTTAGTAGTTTTCCTGTCCCTTCATATGAACTAAAGTCATTTTATTAAAACCTAAAGTTCAGTTATCAGTATCTCTTCTGCTAGGAGTAGTATTAGCAATTATAGTTTCTTCTGGTGGGTAATTTTCTTGAAAAGAGGAGAGAGTTTCTTTAGCAGATTTAGAGACATCATTACTTTCAAGAGTTGATTTTTTTGAAGGTCTAATCATTCTGAAAGGAGAAGGATTATAACTTGGATTTATGAGCGATATATTGAAATAGATAAGTAAGTCATCTCAAAATTTCTTTTAAAAAAAATCAGTTTCAGCTTGAGCTCAAATACAATATGTAATTGCTCGTTCAAAGGATGATATTAGGGTATTTCTGTATCTTAAGGTATTAAGAGTTTGTTTGTAGTAGATTTTCTTACGTCAGTAGACTCTTCAGCAATCGCAATTTAAAAAGCTTCTATACTTTTGCTAGTATATAATGATGCACCTAAAACCTGTTGTGTCTACTCGAAGAAGTTAAGAAAAGGTTGTAAAATTTCTTTAGGTAATGGATTACAAGCGATACAGGATGGGTCGTCAGTTAAATTAAAATTATCAGTTGATTTTTTAAAGTTATATTCTTGCCTATTGTGTATAGCTGAATAGTTCTTTTGGTATTTTATTAATTCTCTAAAGTTGTTTATAGAGTATTTCTTATAGTATTATATAAATAAAGAAAGAGGATTCTATCATCATCGCTAAATGTTAATGTGTAATCTTTTCAGATTATAATTATTAGATGCAATGTTAAAGGGTTGACTCTTTTATATTTTATGTAATAATTCCAGTTAGTTTACAAGATTCTTAGCTAATTTGCTACCAGTTTATTAAGTCAAATCAGTTTATTAGACGTGAACGGTTTCAATCACAAGTTAAGAGTGGTCACATTAAGTTCAAGAAGAGTTTTTAAATAAGAAATAAGAAAATCTTTATTGAAGTAAAAGAAAATAATATGATAATAATATATGAAAGAAATAAGAAATGAAAATAAGAAACAGAGATACACGAAGTGAAGAGTAGCATTGCACTATCTTTTATAGAAGAGAGGTTTTATACAGCCATCAGTTCTGTCTCTTTTAATTGATAAAGAGGTTGTATTTATATCTATTTTATTACATATTTTGACATATCTAATATATCAACTATGTTAACTATATCAACTATATTAACTATATCTATTATATTAACTATATTAGACATATCTGATATATTAAACATATGAGTTATATTAAACATGTTAGACATGTTAAATATATTTGACATTATCGACATTTGTATTTTACCACATAATTGTAGATCTATGATTATCAAGATCGATACCTGATCACAATATCTTGTCTGAAAATTTGATTAAAGATCAAGAAGATTACATAAGAATCTATTTATACAAGAAGATATTCGACATTTATCTGATAAAGATTTTCAAAATTATAAATTAGCATTAATAAATAATTATATTAGAAGTAAAGCAGATCTTATTTTACTAATATCAAATAATATTAATAGAGTTGTTGACTTAGACGTTTTGAATAATTTAAAAAACTTTAGTTTTAAGATTAAGGATTTAGAAGAAAGAATTATAGAATTAACAGCAGTAGCAACAGCAACACAACTACCATCATCAAAACTATCATCAGCAATAACGGAAAATTTGGAAGACTTAACCAAAAAAATTGCAAAATATATTGAAGAAATTATACTACTTCAATTTTTACAATTAATGTTAATCATATCCAAAGATCAATTGTATAAATATAAGCTACATAAAATAGTTTTGCTTGAATATAATAAATATATTCAAGAAACTTGTTAAGTAGTTCATGATATTTCTAATAAACTTTTAACGTATATTTCTTACTCTTGTTCAAAAAATATCAAGAGGAAGAGTAAAATTCATTTCCTTTTTTTAAAAATAAATTAAATGAATTATTACTAAAATATGCAGAAGAATTCAGGTTTGTAGAGGATAGTCAGAAAAAGCAACTCCCCCACTATCATCATCACCATTATTAGCATCAGCAGCAGCAACAGCAGCAACAACAAAATAAAAAACATTAAAACTTCAAATAGAAAAAAAATTCGTTATATGAAACAAAAATTATTTGAAGAATATCAGGAATTTAAAAAAGAAAATCCTGATAATGAGGAGTTAGATTTAAAGGAATATCCTCTGGATGAAATTAAGATTAGATCAAAAAATAAAGATCTTAAGAGTGTGAATTCTTTTTTTGCATTATAACATGCAAAATTTTAAAATAATTGAAGGTAATATTTTGTTAAAATTAATTTTAATATAATAAATTTATTATATAGGAAATTACCATTGTATAGATGAAAATTTTGAAATATTATTTTGATAATTCGAAATACCTGAAGAAAAGATAGATTTAGTTATGAATGTAGATAGTGGGAGTGATATGCATAAGCGTAGATATGGGTGGGATTACATATTTCGGAAATCTAGTGCAATAAAGGAGTGTGGGGCTTAGAATCTTGTAGTTAGTAATAGATGTAGAAACAAATTATCTGTAGAAATTATTCTGAGAGCAAAGAAATAACTTGATGCTGGGACTCGCATTAAATGGCCTAGGATCCGCGTACTCCCTCCCTCTTTGATAGCATCATACATTTTATTTGCTTCTCTAATATTTTATGATGAAAAATCAATCATAAAGTTTCGTCCACTTCAGCGCATTTGTATAATTTTTTTTTTTTGCAAAAAAATCGAGGTTACCCGAAACCTTCTCCGGATAACATAAGGTCACTGTTTTTGTCACAAAAGTCATTTCGAAGACAGTACCAGAGGCAGACGTATCCCCTCGGGTTTTACAGGCCGAAGAAACGCTGGATATAGGAACCAGAACCTTATGCATCTTTTGAAAGCTACTATACAGTCATTTCGAAGACAGTACCAGAGGCAGACGTATCCCCTCGGGTTTTACAAGCCGAAGAAATGCCGGGTTTATGTGCAAAAGGTTTGAAAAATAAACTACTTATCGCAAGCCACATAGTAATATCAGGTTTACACATCGGTGAAACCAAAATGACTTTTAAAAACTTTTACTGACACCGTGACGCGTTAGTTACTTCTTCGTGACTTTATCATAATTATCATGGTTTGTATCAATATAATCGAATAGTTCACAGAATTTTTTAATTGTGGCTCGATATTAATATAATATATTTATACTGTTTATGTCTGCAGGCTTATGAAAATTATGTTAATTTGCTAAAAGGAATATTGTCAACATCTGATAATTTCAGTGCTATTAAATTTTTCAAAATAGCTTATTTTACGGCCTCCCAAAGAAAAATGGCAGAGGAAACTTTGCTCGAAACATTAAAAATCGTTGAAATGGAAGATTGCGTGTATTCTGCAACAGCTAAAAGACTTATCGGCCATTTTAACGAGATGATCAACTCTTTCGATGCACAAAAGTTTTGGGATAGCCTCAACGTTCGAGAAGAGAAATCTAAAACTCAAACTGCACAAGTTATTTTGCAAGAGAAAGAAGTCAGTTATCTACGCTCTAGATAAGCTTAGCTGTTAGTGAAGTTGTTAGTAACGTCATTTTTTTGCAAACTACCTAGGAACAGAATGCTTGTCAAGTAAGGATCGGTGCGTTAGATGCGAATATCCAGAAATTAACGAGAAAAAGACAAGGTGAGGAATTACCTTCGACACCGCCAAATAAGATCAGTATACTATATCAAATTTAGCTAGCAAAATCATCTATTAACTTTTTTGACATGCATGCATAGACTAGAGCCATTAACACGGAAACTTCTCCAGAGTTTTCATCAAACTCAGACTCTGAGGTTGTGACACCCATTTTGCTTACGAATGTCTTTCTAGATTCTGCTTCTTCACAACAAAAAACACCCATTGATACGAATGCCATTGATTCAAGCCTATATTCAAAGGTCGAAAGTCAAAAAACGACCAGAAAATTCACGACCAGAAAATACATAAACCGTGACTTAGCGGATGAGGTCTTAAAATCGTATCAGATAAAAGTAATGCCGGGTGATAAGTTGATATATGACAATGTCGATGTATTGAAATTTTCCTGCTCAAAAATGAAGAAAACAGACATATCAAATAGCCCTTTATCAATTGGCGTTCTCAACATTCACAACAACAGTTGTACTAAATTATTACCGATTAATTTCAAACAATTTATATCCGATCAGATCCAAGATTGTGGAGCGAAAGCTGTCTATTTTGGAAACCGATCTATTAATAAATTTGTGGTGGATTGCGAGGAAGATGTGTTGAACTTCTTGGAGGAGTTTCAAGACATAGGAGATTTAGAATCGTTAGCAAAATGTTTAAACGAGAATCCGATCAATATGTCCACTGCTTCTAACGACCTTATTTTTGCACGAATTCTTTTCGACCATTTTTATTTCCTATTCAAAAACGATACTTTGCTCCAACCAATGTCTGAACATGAGTTCAGCGTATATATATGGTCACCGTTAATAAGAAATGCCTTTCTCGGAAAGGAAGATTTAAAGCTAAGTTGCGGAGAGCTTGCGTCAAAATCGTATGAAAAACTAAAAGAAATACTAAATGTTGCCGGTCGTGGTGGTCCGAAGCTGGATGGAAAAGGTTTTCTGAAATTGTTAGGAACTGAGATTATCGCACAGGAAGACGGAGTTTTAAATACTTTTGTCAAACGGAAAGGGGATATCCAAAAATTGGAGTACTGTTCTAAAGTCATACTTACGGCATTGTACTTTGCGTTACCCTCAACCACAAAATCCAGCATAGCAGACATTGAAATATATACCTTACAGTCCAATGAGTTTCGCCTTAAAATTTCAGCATCGAAATACTTATTTGAGAATACAATAATTACGATGGATTTACAACATATTGAAATTCCGAGAACAGTGGAAGGGTTCTCTAAATTAATAGTAGGTGTTAAAACCATTCTATCCTGGAAAGCGAGGACCAAGAAGAATACTATGAAATTCTATGAAGCACTAAATAAAGGACATAAGCGCTTGACCAACGGAGAATTTTTTTCGCCAGTTAAATATCCATATAGAGATAAAAGGATGGTTAATGTGTTGTAATAAACTTCTTGCTTTGGAATTTTTAAAAGTCATGATATTTTTAACATAGGAAAGTAATTGAGGATAGCTTTAAAAATTGTAACATCAATAGTAAAAATTAATAAAATTTACCTTGGCAGTAATATCAAATTTTTTTGAAAATAATTACCCACTTCGATTCATATCTGCACATGATCATCTTTCGCACAAATGAAATTAAAGTTTTAAGTTTACTCAATAAGACCCAATTCTCGAAAATGCACTGGAATAACTACTCATGGGTCTTCGTAATACCAAACATACCTTAAGGCAATCCGGTTTTCTTCGCATAATTCTTTCTTGAGTTGATCTCGTTCCTGCTGTTTGATAAAGTTATTGGGATCACCTCTATGAAAGAATTTATTAAATTTTTCGTGTTGCTCCCCTTGGACTTTAATGACAAAACCATAATCACAATACCGAATATCAAGCTCTAATCCTTGATAATATTTGGGTGTTTTTAAGAAATCAGGTCGGCGTATTTTAGATGGTGGTCCAAGATATTTTGATACTATTTCTCGACATAGTTTTTCTCTTTTATATTTCGAGCAGATTGGACACCACGAGTTTGAATGTTTAACACTGCTAAATGATGCAGTCCATAAATTTCCTTCGGCACATTTCCATAATAAAGCTGAACGACAATTAGTAAAATATTTAGAAAGACATATTCCATTTCTACTACATGCCAATTGCTTTGCATTTTCGATAGTAAGAAGTCTATTACCTGCGCAATGTGGGCACCATTTCTTACCATTTTTTATATTATTAAAAGATGCATTCCACTCATGTCCTTCGGAACAACGCCATTGCATTAGAGTATTAGCATTAATGTATTCAGTAGAAATACATAGCCCATTTCTATTACATGCCACTTGCTTGACATCTTCAAGTGTACAAGGCTTATTATTTGCGCAATGTGGACACCACGTCTTATGATTTTTTATACTATGTAAAGTTGTAGTCCAAACATGACCTTTCGTACACTGCCATTTCATTGGAGTATTGACATTAATGTATTCAGTAGAAATACATTGCCCATTTTTGCTATGAGCTAGTTGCTTTGCATTTTCGATAGTAAGAGGTCTATTAACTGCACAATGTGGGCACCATCTCTTATGATTTTTTATATTATTAAGAGTTGCGGTCCATTCATGACTGTTTGCACATTTCCATCTCATTGAGGTACTAGCATTAATATATTCAGTAGAAACACTTATTCCACCACGCTCTTTAGCAATTGCAAAAGCATTATTCAATGTCAACCTTTTCATTGATTCTTCAATGAAAAAATCAAAACTTTAATTACCAGATAATGGGTCCTAAACTGATAATACTACTTGGCCAGAGATGCTAAAGCTGAGGAAGAAAACAATTGCCAGGTTATGAATGAGCTTAAAGTACTATCCCAACACCTGCTCAATTATAATAGATGAACTTTTGGAAAATTCATGCAAGACGGGGAATATAGAGAGTGGATTAATACAAATAAGAAAATGCAGAGTGAAATTGAGGATCAATATAAATAACTGGTTCTCCTATTCCAATTTTTTTTCTTGCGGTTAACAAAATATATTCCTTGAATAATTATCCTACTTTTCAAAATACTATGGAGTATTATGAACTATGCAAATTAGAAAAACAGAATCCATTCACTCCTAAGCATCCATTTAAACTAGGAGTTGCAGACACCTCTGAGTCTGAAAAGATTAGCATGGTAGCACATTTGCTCCTAGGAAGTAAATATCCAAAAATATATCTATAGATGTTTGGTGAAAACGTGATCATAAAATACCAAAAGGTGAAAGCAAAAATTTTGGTATAAGGTATATTTTATGTGATGATCTAATCATTATTGCATAACACTAAGATAAAGAGCTATAAAAAGCAGTATAATATTTTTATAAATTTATAGCCATGAATAAGCAAGCTCTATAATATAAAAATGTGAAATTCAAGCTGATCGTACTTGAAGAACTACCTGATATTTCATCTTTCAAAAGAACTGGCTGATTTACTATTATAGTCTTTGATGATCTTGCCAGAAAATCTTTAGCAACTCAGCTAAAATTTGTTCCTTTCTTTAGATTAGGCAGACATAATGGAATTAGCTTAATTTATATAACCTAACATTTTTATGAAATTCATCTAAATATACGCGTAAATCTTATATTTTATTGCATTGTAAATATAGAACATTAGATAGTATAAAGCAAATTCTTAAAAATATATATGATGATTATGAGCCTCTAGTAAAAAAAATTTATGAGGTAATAAAAAAACACTTTATGGTTATTGATATCCAAAGACCATCTGATGTCCTCTTATCAATTAGATTTAGATAGAATAAACCTTTGAAAGATAGCTAAATTCAGGATAATTCATACTTTGTGGTCTCATCCGTATTCATAAGGTAAAGTTTTATAGAGGGTAGTCCTGTCTCTTGATTCTTCTGTATATTAGATTAGAAATTCATAACTATGATTTCTATTTAAGGGTATTTTATAGTTCAAAATATTTTTTCTTCATTGTAAGGTGAATTAAAAAAAATAGATGAGAGAATATACACTATAGAATATATATGATTAGTAATACTATTACAAAAATGATTGCATATTAAAAAAAGAAGGAATTGGTAATTTTAAAGTTGTTTCAGAACTAGTGATACTATTATTTTTCTCCAGTTTACTAATATCTTTAAATACTTCAGACTCACTAGATATTTTTAGGTTCCATTATTATAAATAATATTTTATTATTTTCTCTTATCTGCTTAGCTAAATAAATATTAGTCTCTTGAAGGAGGATCTCTTTTTCTAATAATGTCTTTTGTACTGAAGACAAATTATCTTTCATCTGCATTAATTCTTCTTTTTTACCATCAATTCTATTTACGTTGAAGTTAATTCATCCCTCAACCACATTAATTTACCCTTTTTATTGCTTAATTCATCTTCCTTCAGATCTAAGTCAAGATTTTTTAGCTCAATGTTTTGTCATGACTGCATTAACTCTTGTCTAAGGGAATCCATTTCTAATAAGTCTTTCTGAGCTAAAAAAATACTTCATTTGCAACTCTTTTATTTCTGATTGGAGAGTTTGTATCTCTTTCGATTTTGTAATAATCTCGTTTTCAACTTTTGTGAAAGAAATATCTTTATAGATGATCTGATTTTTGAGTTCTTTTGCCTTATCTTCAAGCTGGCATACGCATTCTAAAAAACTCTTATTATTTTTATCAAGAGAGTGTTTTTAGTGCTAAGCTGAATACTTGAGCTCATACAAGCAAATTAGTTTTCAAACTCAGTTTAGCTAGATGGATATCGATTAGATAGCGAATCTCTAAGTTTATTACCAGATACTAAAGGTGGTCCATTATTTATCTCATTCAGTATATGCATGTTCACCATATAATTTACTTAAAGATAAATATTTTTATGATTTTTTTTTAAAACATGATCTCAAATCCTATCATATATTTTTTTTATTTTGAATGCTTACATATAATAGAAAAAAAGTATTTTTAAATAATATGTAAAAGATTTTTAAGATCTGATGCAACTTCTTTAACAATAGAAACTATAAAAAAAATTAGAAACGCCTTAAGAAATATTTTAAATGCATCTCGTATTATATATAAAAAACATCAGATTGGTATAAAAAGATATAAGAATATAGTTAATAATCAAATGCTTTCTGAACTTATATAGAAATGGAAATTTATTGTGAGCTCATCCTATTCATCTCAGAAAATTAATTAGAATAAAGAAATTGAAAGGATATATAATTTATATGCTAAACTTTCTAATTAATAATTTTTGAAGATTTTTTAATATCCATATTTTTTAAAATAATTAGTAAAAACTGGTCTTTTTTAAAAGTTATTAAAAAAATCTGATAATATTTAATAAATTTAATAAATATTGATTATAATTCTTGGATAATTATCAAAAAAAAATTGATAAATTTTAATAAATCTTAACATTTTTTTATTATAAAGAATGGAGCGTTTATTTAAAGAATATTATTGTGTAGGTACTACTTATTTATTATTAGAAGTACTTAAAAAATCTGCAATTCTCGTAAAAAAGTTAAAAATACTGTAACAGTAATGGCTAAGAAGCATCATATTTTAACAAAATAAGTATATAAAATTTAGCACAAATATGCATTAGGTTAGCCTAATCATACTTAACAAGATTTACAGTCAGAAGGTGCAGAGCATGATACTTTCTCCTCTATTATTATACAAGAAGATGGTGATACCATATGAAGTCAATCCTACTGCGTCACAAAAGATTGACGAATGATCAACGTTATTAACATCGTTAAC